TGGTAGTCATTAAATAAATGATTGTCCTTGGAGAATAGAACATTTTTTACTACTTAGAGCTGCTTTCTTGGGCCTCATAATATATTGACATGTTCTTTGTAATAAGTGAACTTGATCAAGCAAAAACTTACATCATTATGACAAACAAATGAGTTATGATTCTCATGATTTAAGATAGCAATTGTACCAATTGATCTTTTCTTTTCGTTTCTTTTTTTCACTCGCTTGGATCACTGTTTCTTGATTTAATTACTTATTCCTTGTTAGGATGACTTACTTCCTTTCTATTATTTAATGTTCTAAGGTTTCAAACCCGTGGTAGTAATTGTTCTCGTATTTTTTATCCTTGTTACCTTTTCTCAATAATTTGAAACTACTAAAAACATCTCAATAGTAAGCCACTTCAAGATGAATGTATTTGACCAAAAACAAGCAAGAAGCTGATTACCACAAAGAGAAAATGGCATATGATTCATCCACAAATTTTTTTTTATATATCCAATCTCATATTCACACACATGTCTATTTGGCCAAGCCTTTGTTTTTGCAACCAAGATTGTATTTTACCCGTCCAAGCGTAAAGAACTCAAAAGAAACAAACAAAAGGTGGATTACCATAAAGAGAAAATGGTGTATAATTTATCCACTGTATTTGTTTTTTTCATATACCCAATCCACATCTCACATACATGTCTATTTAGCTGAGCCTTTGTTTCGCAACCAAGATTATCTTACCTATCCGAGCCTAGGTATAATTTAACAGATGAAGAAGTACCGTTAATTTCTTCATGCTCCGTTCCAAGTTTGAAGTACTATTTGTACAAATATGGACCCTCACCCCTCCCCATTTTTTTCTAATCTTTTTGAGAAAAATCTCTTCATAAAATATAGGAGGTAGAACTAATAAAATTTACCTTTTACAAAGATTTGAGGTCACTTCTTAAAGTTTTCTTTGTTGGTTGTATTTCTTTTTATTGAGAAATCAAAGAGAGTGAGCATTTTAGCAAATATTTCTAATCTACCTTTGTACCAATTTTTATTGAAGCTCATACTATGAGGCGGTTAAAGGGGATTTGATTGATTTAATATAAATGAAACTAGAAAAGAAGATTGAGGGTTGGAACAAAAGCATGACATAAATTCTTGGAATTTCGTGGGCATTCATAAGTCTTTCATCATTCTTAGGTAGCTTAGCCCTATTTTGAAAGAATAAATTCCTTGCTATCCTTGAATTATTTTGTATGCGAGCTATTGGTTGAAACTTCTCACAGCCAAGTAGCTACTATTCACTTTCTCTTTCCAGTGTTAATTGCTTCTTCACTCTTAATTGTAGCTACTTTGGTTAGGTTTTGATTACCATATATATTGTCAATTGACCATACCCATAATTACAACATTCAAAGGCATATACTTGTCTTCAATTTCTAAAATTGTTTAAATTTTAATGATACAAGCATTGCCATAGTCTCTTTCCATAATATTAACGCTCATTATCAAATTTTATATGCGATTATCTTGAGCACAAATACATTAAAGTAAACATGGTATTAGGTCGGATAAAATAATATTATCCGACCTAATCATTTGAAGTAAACGCACCCTATATATATCATTTTTCAAATGGTTAAGATTCTCTCAATTTCATATTTTTCATGTTTTACTTTTGGTATAACTTTTTAAGCATCGCAATTATTGATAGCATATAACTATCTCAAATTAGAATAAGAGTAAAAAGATGAGACATACACACTATATTGTATAAATTTTCGAACGTAACAATGTCCATTTGTATGGATTTATAGATCTTAACTTAATGAAGCTTAAAGAACAAGCCAGTTTAATTATTACCAATTATGTGGATCTCCTTTCTAACATAGACACTACAAAAAAATTTCGTAGCAAAAGGTATGAACATAGCAAAAATATTTTTGCGATGAAACTCATTTTATCACCTATATCGCGTTAGTAAGGGTCTTTGGCGACAAATACGACTTTCCTAAAAAAAAATAAGTTTTTTTTGTAACAAAAGTTAAGAAAAGAGATATAGCTAAGAAAATAAAATTTCTTAGCTAGAACTCTTTTGCTATAAAATTAAAATTCATAACAAAAGAGTTTTAGCAACAAAATATGTATTGACTTTTCTAGCCAAATGGTTTTAGCTATGAAAAATAATTTTGTAACTAAAACCTTTTTACTATAAAAATATAATTTCTATAAGCATTGTCACTCAAGTCGTAAGCACATCGACAAATTATCTCCCTTTAAAAATAATTTCACAAGAGGTTCAAACAATTTTCTGCTAGAATTCTCATTTTCTTTCTATATATCTCTCTCTTGCGGACATATATATATATATATATATATATATATGAGAATCAAGCCTAGTTCCCCGACTATGTCACTACATAAATGCATATCATTACAATATTCTTCGTTCCAATGTAAGATTGAAAAAAACTTAAAAAAATAAAAAATAAAAAATAAAAAAGGCCATAATCACCAATTCAAGAAAATATTATCCAAAAGAAGAAAAAATAAAATAAAAATTACATCATAGCCTCACTTACCAATGACCAAAAAAGAAACTTTGGCTCTATTTAAATAAATATTTTTTGAAAATTTTAGCATTATTTATTACTAGTAAATTTTTTAAAAAAATATCATATTAAATATTTAAATTTTTACTTTTTCTTTCCAAGATTCTCTAAACTTTCAAAGTTATTATATAAAGAGAGTATTCTTCTAGAATTGAAAACCTCTTTGGCGGCGGTGATGTTATGTTATTTATGTTGTCATATGATAGTAAAAGGTTGTCTACCCCAACACACATACAATCCCAAGACATACGTGTCCTATATTTGTTAAAAATTGACACATGTCCATTAATTGTACTTATCTACATTATATCGTGGCAACTAAAGTAACACTACTTTGGTGTTAAAAATACAATCAAATAAGAACAATTCTCACAATTAATTAAAAATAAATTAGATTCAATTTAATTAGTGTAAAAGGGTTTTGAGATACTAATGATAAATATTGTCCTGTTCCAAATTTTTTGTTATGATTTCTAATTTTGAATGTTTAAAAAAAAAAAAATGTAACTTTCCTTCCCTTGATTCTAGATTTTATTCTTTTATCATTCTAAATACAATTTATACAATTATTTCAAATAATAAATAATAACAAATTACTAAAATTGTACCACTATACGGAAAGTAAACATAGAAAAAAATTGTGAATTCAAACATTTTTTAAATCAAAATTATTATAAAGTAACAAATCAATACATTATTTCAGAATATATATATATCTATAGAAAAAAATTTTATTATTTCAATATATATCTTTGTATGTATTAATTACAAATATATCGTGCTACCATTTTTATCATTTTAGCAACTAAAATGATAATATTGTAATCCATTAAGTATAAGAAAATATATATTCCAGATTGGGATAGTTTTAAGACTCTCTTTTTTTTTGTTTGATTTTATAAAACATACCAAACACTGCAATATTTCTTTTTTGGTTTGTCCAAAACTCAATGTAATATTTCTAAATTTAGAAATAATTAATACGCAGTAATATTTATATATATATATATTAACATAATAAAAAACAAATAATCATTTCCCTCTCCATCTCACCTAAATTTTCGTGTCAAGTATAAATGTTGCACTGTGTTTGGGAGTATTATTTTATCTAATAAAATATTATTTTCTAAATTATTGTTAAAAAGAAAAAAGAAAAAACACCCACATCCTAAAAGCATTAAATAGACAAAAAGAAGTAAATTAAGAAGCATTTATATTTATTAGACAGCAAAAAACAATTCATGAATTAAAAATAAAAAATAAAAAAGCAGACAAGTGTATTGACTGCACGCACGCACGCACGCACCGATGCAGTCCCCACGTCGTCGATAGTTAACATCACCATTATTACAGCATCATATATACGTGTCTTATGCTAAGAGACCTATGCCCTCTTCAATTCTAACACAAAAAACCTCCTAAAAGGTATGCTCTAATCTATGTACTTTTCAATTTTTTTAATATATGATTACCACTATTATTCCTGTCAAAATGTAAATATATTTGCTTACTATATATACTTTTTAATATTTTATTATTATATATAGAAAAAAAAAAACTGTATATTTTTATTAACTTTTACTATAATTTATTTTTTATTTCTATCAATTTCACATCATTTTTTAATATAATTACATATTTTAATAATATTTTTTAAATTTTAAAATTTTTTTAATTTTAATTAAATTATTTAGTTATCTTATTTTTAATCTACAATTATTTTATTATATAATAATTATTTTTATCAAATACACTTCCTAATTACTTTTCAATTATATTTTACCTAAATTTATATATACAATAAAGGAGCACCTTTGGGAGGTCTCAGGTGTCGATCATGATATTTAACATTAAAAATATAAGGTATAATTTTATTTTATTTTATTTTTTGCGTAAATATGATTATAATAATATTACAAAAATACTAATAAAAATATTTTTATTTTTTTTAATTTATACTATATTTTTATATAATAATTAATATACAAATATAACCATCAAAAAATAAATAAGACTCTTGAGAGCTGCAACGGAGGTAGTAAGGATATAGTAACTTTTTCTTTTTAATACTAGTATTTGTTCTTAACAATAGTAATCATAAAATATTGAACCCAAAATAAACAGCCCTAAGATATGTAGTGGAGGTGAAATTACTGCAATTTTCAGATCAGACCTCCTCGGAGAAGATTTTAGGGTTTCTTACAGTTCTAGAATCAATGACATTAATCAAACACATAGGCAATGTAAGAGTATAAAATCAAATTAAACTAAAATTGAAGGGGACGCTACTGAACGAGTGCAGAAATAATTTGCAAATACAATAAAAACGCCCAAACAACGAAAGGAAAGCGAAACGAATTCGACAGTTGATATGGTAATGAAGATGGAGTGTCGAGAACTTACAGAATTCAGAAACGTTGGAAATTCTCGAAATAAAATTGGACCACGAAATAGCTAACGAAATATTCTCCTCCTTCGTCTCCAAATGAAATCTCCTCTTCAGAAAAGTAAGGTTGCATTGCGAAGAGAGACTGATAAAGTTCAATATATATATATATATACATACATATGTGTGAGAGAGAAGTAAAGTTATGACTTGTCGCCACCACCACGTAGCTTGGACTTGGCGGATTGTGAGCCGTTGAGATGGAATCAATCCAACGGCTGAGCGGGGTGCTCCGATGCTTCAGACGTGGCCACCTGGAACGTACGACACGTTCAAGAGCTGACACGTGCGGAGAAGCAGGCACTAGGTTGAACCTACCCGGTCCTGATGTGGGGCCTTAAAAAAATACACATGTTCATTTTTTTTATTTTATATATAGATGGGTGTGTTTGTTTGGGGGTTTGAATTTTGAATTGAGATTTGAATAATAAAAATTTTGAATTTGAATAGTTGTATGATGTAATATAAATAGGTGTTGATGTAATATTTTGAATGTAAAATTGATTTTTAGTATAATATAAAAAAAATGAAAAATAAATATTTGATTTCATATTTTTTGAGGAAAAAAAAAAAAAAAAAAAGATGAATAGTGTATTTGGAGGAAAATCCCCCAAACAAACACACCTATATAAATAAAACAAAAAGTTGCTCGATTACTAATAGATCAAACAACTTTGTTTGAAGCAGCATAGGCGTTGGCCAGTCCAAAATTTAGATTTGATCATTAACAATATCGATGATCAATGTGTAAGGCTTTGTCAAACATACGGACTTTCGATTGACCCTCCCAACTATCCAAATGCACATAGAAGAAGAAGATATACTATGAAGAAATTCGAAAAATCAGAAACGACAACTAAACCGTACGTATATTTCAAAATATATAAATATTTTATTGTTTCTATTTTATATGATTTTTTCTTTTATTATTGTATAGAGACCGGAGAATCTTCGAGAAATATTGAATTAGCATATCCATTACCGCACATTGAATTAGGTGATTAATAATATATTTGGTATGATTTATTTAGAAGATATAATGTTATTTTTCTAACATTTTAATAATTATTAAATTAGATGTTTTTTTAAAAAATAAAAAATAAGTTAATGATCGAGAAGATGTAAATCACAATATTATAATTGAAGGTAATATATATATATTTATTTAGAAGATATAATATTATTTTTTTAACATTTTAATAATTATTAAATTAGATGGGTTTTTTTTTTTTTTTTTTAATTTTAGTGAATGGCCAAGAAGATCTAAATCAAGTGTATATATATTAATAATATATTTGGTATGATTTATTTAGAAAATATAATGTTATTTTTTTAACATTCTAATAATTATTAAATTAGATTTTTTTTTTCGGTGAATGACCAAGAAGATGGAAATCATAGTGTTATAACTGAAGGTAATTTATATATATATATATATATTTTTTCATTTTGTTTCTCATTTTGTTATATTTATTGTTACAATATAAGACACATGTCTTTATTTTATATTAAATTTATTAATTGTCAATATTTAAAAAAAAATCGAGCATATATTACATATAATAACTAAATATATCATATATTACATATATTACTCACTTTGTTTAATAAATATATTATCCACTTTCTTTTATGTCATTCATATTACTTTTATTTTAATTATTACTAATATGATGTCATTTTTAAAATATTTTTAAAATGATGTAGTTACACAATTTTTAATTTCGAAAAATAACCATGTGAATTTTTTGATCAACAATAATGATACATAGCAAGATAACTATTTACTTTAGCAATTAAAAAACCGTGTATATATTACATATAACATTTAAATAAAAATATAACATATTTTTATTTATTTATTTATTTGTTTGTTTCAAGAATATTGTCCTATATTATTTATTTTGTTTAATATATTCTTGAAAGTAATTTATTATTATTATTATTACTTCATCACATTATTTCAAAAATATATTTAAAGTTTATATGTTTTCATACACGTATATATTTGAAACAAATGTCAATATTTTGTATTTATTCTTTTATTATATTTATGATTATCATTACGATGCATGCATTTGTTAATTCAATTTTTTTTTTCTATGTATTGGTACATAATCAACAATATTAATAAATTTATATTATAATATTCAATAATGTTACTTTATAATATTTTTTTATTATTAATTTATTGAGATATATATATATATTTTTGTTTAATTTATTGATATTGTTGGTTATGATCAATGCTATTGTAAACAAACATGCTATTATTTTTACTTTTGCTTTTATTTATTTGATCAATAGTATGTACATAAAGCGACATGGTACTATTTTGTTACTATTGTTTGAATAAAATTACTTCAATTCATTTAAGTTTTTAAATATAATTTGATTAATGGGTATATTATTTTAAATATTAATGTAATTTCCATCTTATTATTAAAATAATTCTTAACATGATGTTATTTTACTATTTTTCCCCCTATTCTTACAATAAAATTACCTCAATTTATTTAATTTTGTAAACATAATTTAACCGATTGCTATATCATTTTCAATATCAGTATTATTTTATAACATCAACATTATTAATATGATTTTATTATTAATATTTAATATTTTCAAGATGATGAAATTATACCATGTTCTATTATGGTGAATTATCAACACGAGATGAATCATTATATCACTATTGACCAAGGTAATATCAAATAATTAACTTTATTGTATTCATTGATTACTATGCATGCATCCCTATAGTTTGATATATATATATATATATATAGTCAATTTCTATTGTAATAGCATTATTTCATATTACTTTATTGTATTATTATTTTTGGCTAATATAGTTCCCGGACAACAAAATTCTGTAGCAGTGGACATTGTTCATGATCAACAGTCTAGGGTAATGTAATTTTTGCATTGATATAGTAAATTATTATTTGTATTTAGTTAAAATATATTTTGAATTTTGAATTTAATTTTTTTTTAAATACATATAGATATTTAGATAAATATTGATATCATTGATGAAGATACAATTGTTTTCAATACATTTCCAGAAATAATTTACAATGAGAATGATCAAGTGGAAGAAAATAATCATCAAATATGTATGAATTTTAAATTAATGTGATTGTTCATAAATTTTTCATTGTTGCACCACAAAATATTATATATATATATATTTATATTCTTCATTTAGTTTTTACATTTTCCTAAATATAACTAATATTTATATTATTTAAAAATTCATTCTATTCATATTGGATTAAACAACCAATAGGATCATTTATATTAGTTTTTTTCTTAATTTAGTTTTCAATTTAAAGAAAATAATAAATTACTATAAATTTCGTAATTACAGATATTACTTCTATAAGAGAAAATATTGGAAATGGAATAACAACACGGTTGGTTTTGGAGGAAAGAAACATAATATGCAAGTATTGTAAAGCATTCATGTGGTTAGAAGAAAAAAATGTTTGTAGTTCGAATTTGTCTCCTAAGTTCGGACTTTGTAGTCAATCTGGAAAGGTCTCCCTACCTTTATTACCACATTCCCCACCGTATCTAGCTTCCTTACTGAATGATTTCAACTTTAGAGAAAATATACGATCTTTGAATTCTATATTTTCTTTCACATCAATGGGTGGAAAAGTTGACATGTCTGTCCTCGAAGGAAGAGGTCGACCGTGCTTTAGAATTTCTGGAGAAAATTATCATAAAATTGGATCTTTGCTTCCTTCACGAGAGAAAATCATAAATTTCTCCATCTATATATTTCTAATGCACAAAATGAAGTACATCAGAGACTAAGTGTCTTGACCAGATCAAAAACGAATCCACAACTTCTGGAGTCATTTGTTACGAGTATACAAAGAATGTTAGATAGGATGAATCCTTATGTTAGGGTTCTCCGTGCTGAAAGAGATTTGTTGCATCATGACAATGGAGCTGATCTACATATAAGTATTTTATATTTTAGATGTAATAAGACTTATATATTAAACCAATTGTGGACGAAGTTGCAGCTTTGATTGTGGGAGAAAATTCTAATGCTCCACAATATCGTGATGTAATTGTATGCAAAAAATGATGGAATTTTAAAGAGAATCAATGAGATTCATCCATTTTATACTCCGTTGCAGTATCCACTAATATTTCCTTATGGTACAGATGGATGGAACCCAAATATTCCCTATAAATAATCAACTTGGCAATTAAGAAGAGAACATGTATCAATTAGAGAGTTTTGGGCCTTCAGAATTCAACATAGAACATCTGAAGAAACAACGATATTGCAAGGGGGACGTTTGTTTAATCAACTTTTAGTTGATTGCTATGCAGCAATGAAAAAACAAAGACTAAATTATATAAAAAAAAAACATTAAGCTTAAATGTGTGCAGACCTGCATCAAGGTTTAGAAGATGCAATAGTACTTGGAGATACAGATGCTACAGCTGTTGGTAGAAGAATAATTCTACCATCTTCTTTTACCGGAGGACCTCGGAATATGATGCAACACTATCAAGATGTCATGGCAATATGTACGAATATTGGACCACCAGACGTTTTTATTACATTGACATGTAATCCGAATTGGTCTGAAATACCACGTGAGTTATTACACATCACTAATCAACGCATTGAAGATAGGTCATATATTGCTGCAAGGGTCTTTAGAATGAAACATAAACTCCTCATGAAACATTTGAAAAAAAGGAAAAGTTTTCGGTGATGTAATTGCAGGTATAGTAACATATTTAATTATGACTATTATCATTTATTATATATTAAAATATTCCAAATTTGTTTACATATAATTACTAAAATATTTCATGTATTACAGATGTTCATGTCATAGAATTTCAGAAAAGATGATTGCCTCATTCGCATATATCTCTTACTTTGGCTGACGGATATAAGTCCAATTCAATTGAGTGAATTGATTCATTCATATATGCTGAAATTTCTGATAAGAATGGAGATTTCCTTGCTTATCAGACGGTCACACAATGCATGATACATGGGCCATGTGGAGCATACAATCCTAATGCTCTTTG